AGATGGAGTCTTTGAATCACAATCGCACATGGGAGTTAGTTCCCCTTCCTGAGGGTAAGAAGCCGATTGGTTGCAAATGGGTGTATAAGAAGAAACCAGCAGTAACAGAAAAAGAGGGGGAGAAGTTCAAGGCTCGTTTGGTAGCGAAGGGTTTTTCACAGCAGAAAGGAGTTGATTATGATGAAATCTTTTCTCCTGTGGTCAGGCACACTTCAATCCGAGCAGTACTTGCATTGGTGGCTAGTTGGGATTTGCATTTAGAGCAGATGGATGTTAAAACTGCTTTTTTGCATGGTGATTTAGAGGAGCAGATCTACATGCGGCAACCTGAAGGTTTCACTCAACCTGGAAACGAGCATTTAGTTTGCAGATTGAAGAAATCTTTGTACGGGTTAAAACAGTCTCCGAGACAGTGGTATAAACAGTTTGACTCCTATATGATCAAGATTGGCTACAACCGATGTGAGTATGATTGTTGTGTCTATGTTAAGAGCCTTGATGATGGTTCTTTTATTTTTCTATTACTGTATGTTGATGATATGTTGATTGCTGCGAAGAACATGGATGATGTTATCGGTTTGAAAACTTTATTGAGTCAGGAATTTGATATGAAAGATTTAGGTGCTGCAAAGAAAATTCTTGGAATGGAAATTTGCAGGGACATAGACTCAAGGAAACTGCGGCTATCTCAACGGGGTTATGTTGAGAAAATGCTAGAAAGGTTTGCGATGAGCAGCGCGAAACCAGTTAGCACTCCATTGGCGAATCACTTTAAGCTCTCATCAGAACAGTGCCCTAAGACAGATAAGGAAGCTGAAAATATGGCAAAGGTTCCGTATTCTAATGCTGTTGGCTGCTTGATGTATGCGATGGTATGTACTCGTCCTGATTTAGCTCATGCTGTTAGTCAAGTTTGTAAGTACATGTCTAAACCTGGTAAGCAACATTGGGATGCAGTCAAGTGGATCTTTCGGTACTTAAAGGGTACTGTGGGACATGGAATTGTTTTGGGAGTCAGCGGGATAATCCTTTGGTTGTAGGATATGTGGATTCAGATTATGCAGGTGACTTGGATAATAGAAGATCTACGACAGGGTATGTGTTTACTCTTGGTGGAGGGCCTATTTGCTGGAAGTCTACTGTTCAATCTGTCGTGGCACTATCTACAACTGAAGCTGAATACATGGCAGTGGCTGAAGCTGCAAAAGAAGCTTTATGGCTTACTGGTTTAGTGAAGGAGTTGGGTGTTCAACAAGGTGGAGTTCAGTTGCTTTGTGATAATCAAAGTGCTATTCACTTGGCTAAGAATCAGGTGTATCGTGCTAGAACTAAACATATTGATGTAAGGTTCCACAAGATCAGAGAGTTGGTTGCATCTGGAGAGGTTTTGTTTCAGAAGGTACATACTGATGAGAATGCCGCTGATATGTTCACCAAGCCAGTTACGACAAACAAGTTCAAGCATTGCTTGGACTTGTTGAATGTTTCGAGTTGTTAAAGAAGCAAGGTAACCCAACCCACATTGAAGTTTCCAAGGGGCAGGATATTCGCCAAGGTGGAGATTTGTTATGTATGGCTCATAAAAAGTCTCGTTGTGGGGTTACGAATTATGTGGGTTGGGGGTGTGGGGGCGCAGCCCCCGCGGTACGGTACAGGGTTGATTTTGTAATTATGTACCAGGGTTTTCTATTATAAATATAGATGTAACCTAGACCTAAAATATCATTGAATAAAACTTCTAGCGCCGCCTAGGCACCGAGGACGTAAGCACATTGCCGAACCTCGTAAAATTCTCGTATTCTTTCGTTTTCTTTACCCGTTTTCGTCAACAACTCGTGAATAAAATACATGTTAAATTACGAACAGAGGGAAAGATTCTAGATGAGAAATAGATTAAAATTTTAATTAATTAATTAATAATTTCTAAATAAATGATAGGTGATTTAAGAATTAATTTAATTAAACTTAAAGTAAAAAAACATTAATAAACAATTATTGTTAGAATTAAAAAAAAGTTGAAATATAAAATTATAATTAAATATTTTTTACATATAAACATTATTATAATAAAATTAGTATTGAATATTTAAAATTATTTTATTAGGAAAATTTTATTATTACAATTATTTTAGTAGTGTGCAAAGATAATATTTGTTTAAAAAAAATTTAATTAACTGACAACATACACACACCCTACAAATACAACTACTTGAACTCTAAACTTTTAAAGAAAATAACATTTCATTTTATCTCGGGACTACTTGATGGTTTCCAAGTATTGCAAATTCTTTTTGAACAATTTCTACCCATGAGAGAGGGAATGGAAGTTTGCTCCTAACGAGTATTGAACCCACGACCTTGAGAAGATAAGAGATGTCAATTGAGAGCTTTTAACTATATGTTGTAGAGATTGTTGATCATTTATTGCAAATCTTTTTTCTTTAAATTATTCTTACCTAAATAAAAGAGGAAGGAGAATCTTACTCTTCACAGATATTGAACTCATCATCTAAGAGAAAGAAAATATCAGCTGTGATCTTTTAACACATATTCTAAAAATGGTTGATTGTTTATTGTAAATCCTAAATATGGATACAATTGATGTGGATTGTAATGTCCTTTCAAGGGGTAGTGTTGGTGTTTTATTGCAAAAGGAAGCATCGTTAGTATAAATCATTATTGCTACCTAATTAACTATCAATTTTAGGTGCTTGGATTTACAATGAAAAGGGAAATGCTTTGATCTAAAGAATCTCATAATATTGATTTTTTAAAATATAAAAAAACCGAATCACAATTTGAAGATGAGGTAAGAATTTAATTAAATCGGTTAAAAATCATCAAATTTAGTTGATTAATTTTTTTGAGTGTATGAATTTTGATAATATAGATGTATGTTAATAGAATGATCAAATATGATAAATTATTAAATGATAGTAGGATAAGACGTTAAGTCTCTTTAATAAAATTAGAGGCTTGAATCTTGACAATGATAATAGAGAAACTTTAATTGAGAAGATCGTCTTATAATAAATTTACGTAACATTTAATCCTGATTAATCAATTAATGAATCTAAAATTTTGGGTGAAAAAAAGAGAGAGTTGTTTTAGGCTCCATTGGTGGCCCCGGTTTGCTAGACTTGTGCTTTTAGTTGGTATCAAGAGACCTATGAAAGTTGTGTCCTATGAATGATTAAAGGCAATGGTGCCTGCCTTTTGAAGGAAACTACTTTAATGGGATGACTTATTGCTTTGCTTTACAACTCCAACCTACATGGAAAATGAGATTCATATTAAGCTAAAATTATTGAAAATAATGATTTTTTTAAAATAAAAAGATGAGTTATTCGGGATTAAAATTGAGATTTAATGTCAATCGAATTTAAAATGATATCTTTTATCAGTACATCACATAATTGATTATCTTAAACTAAAGGTTAATACATTTTAAATATGTTCGAATCTATAATTTTATTAATACTATAATAACAATTATATCAATTAAATTAATATTCAATTAACAATGTAAAATGTTATTATAATTATTCAATAATTTATAAAACTAAAATTAACATATACATTTAATTTGTGGGTCAAGAAAATTAAATCATTATTTAAAGAGAGAGAATTAATATTTGTAGTGGTTTTCCAAACAGGGATGTCCAAAATAGATAATTACATTTTTCATCATTTTTAAATGAAATTGTTGCTATAATATTATAGATATATCATTTTTATTTTATAATTTTATTTTTTGGGTTAATTACTTAATGAATTATTGGCCTTTATTTGCGACATTAATTCAATGAAGAGTTTTATAAGTATAAAAAAATGATAAAATATGAAAAATAATAATAAAAATATAAAATTAATAATGAATCACATCTTGTGTACATACACACTTGTTATTAAATAGACTATATCTTAGATGAATATCATATGAATTGGTATACGAATCAAACGACATTTGTGGTAAATGAATTGTTTTTATTTCTTGAGGTATTGGGTTCAAGCTCAATAACTACCTATTTAATTTCCCCATATATACATATCAACTACAAAAATTTATTAATTTATTTTTATAAAATATACCTGATTAATATTAAAATATTATTTAAATTATTAATAATATATTAATATAGTAAAATAACATATTAAATATTTAAATCCCTCTAATATTTAAATTAATCTAAAAATGCTATTTAAATTAGACCAAGTTATTACCAAATTAAGTTAAATAATAGAAAAGAATGTCAATGTAATACAACAAAGATATTCAAAAAGATAACATATAAAAATAATAATAATAAATTATTTAAAAAATATATAATAATAAATTATTATCAAATTTATGCAAAAGTGGTATAGTCATAGCTTTTTATTTTTAAATTTTGGATAACACTTATTTGTTATTATTTTAATATTTTTGCTTTGAATTTTTAAATTAAAATTGGATATATAATTTATGTTCAGAGATAGTTTATGAAAACGTTCGACTATCATTTTGATTTTCGATAGTCTTTCAATAATCTGATCATCTGTTGCGATTCGTTTATCGATGCAGTCAGATTTATTCATATTTATATCTTACTCGAATATTTTAGATTTTTTTTTAATAATTTTCTTATATGATCCTTATTTAATTTTAAATGACTACTTTTTATATATTAATAGTTATAAGAAATGTCATAGTTATATGTTTAATTTACATTTACAATTCTAAATCTTCATTATTGTTTTTAAAAATTATTTGTTTTTTAATAAAACTAATAGATTATATTTACGTCAAAAGATATCAATTATCAAACATATCCAACTCAATGTATTTTTAAAAAAATATAATTTCTTAAATAATTAAATATGGATATAAAATATTTAATTAAAAATAATATTTTTGAGTGAAAAATCATATCCTTGTGCTAATACAAATGAAATAAAAGAGTAATGACTGACAATAGCCAACAAACAAACTTCACACACCAAAGGAATTATTATTAAGTTTTCTCAGCACACTCAAATCAAAAACCCTTCGCCTCCACCAAACTTAGAAACCCAGAAAAAAAGGAGAATAATAATGGCAGAGAAGGAGAAGAAGAAGAAGAAGCAAAAACACCAACACCCAAATGGCCAGACAACAAAATCTGCACCAGCAGCAGCAGAGTTCTCATTCAAGCCAAGCTCCGAGGTAAAAGGTCTAAGATTCGGCGGTCAGTTCATAGTGAAATCCTTCACAATCAGGCGAGCAAAGCCACTCGAGCTCCTAAAACTCCTCGATTTCCCTCCATTCTCAAACAAATCCAACAACAACAAGGTACCCTTCCCTTCAACAACAGCGTTTTTGCCGACGAATTTCACAATCTTAGCTCACCAGGCCTGGCACACACTCACTCTGGGTCTGGGCACCAAGAAATCAAAGGTACTTTTATTCGTTTTCGAATCGGAAACCATGAAGGTTGCCGTCGATAGGATTTGGCCGACCGAGATCCCGCTCGGGGAAGTTAATAAGAAGCTCATAAGAGGGTTGAAAGGGTGTGAAATGGCGAGGTTTAAGTTCAGGAAAGGGTGCTTAACGTTCTACGTTTATGCTGTTAGAGGTAATGGAAATCTGGGTTTTTGTTGCGCTGATGATCTGAGAATCGTTTTGCAATCTGTTGTTGAACTCAGAGATTTCTTGGATCATACTACCATGCTTGCTGTGCCTAACCAGAGAAGCATTAATTACAGTCATCATGTTGCAATGGCTCACTAACTTTTTTATTTTTACCTTTTGAAATGTTTGGGGGAATTGGTTTATTTGTTGGATGACCTTTGTTCATGTTAATCTTCTTTTTTCTTGAACAAATTTGCAGTATGAATAAATTTGCAGTAGCTTATGTGGTAGCAATTTGTTTTGATCTTCCATGGTTTGGATGATTTAAGCAAAACACTTATGAATTTTGATCAAATGATTATGTGTATATTTTTAGATTAATCATCCAAATTTGATTTATTATTATACCAATTTAAATCAAATACTACAAATATTCATTATGAGAATAATTCTCACAATTTACTCTATTCATACTATTAGTATTATTTTTATATTTGGACGGACTATGCAATTTTAGTAGCTAAAAAAATAATTTTTTTAAGTATCGAGTTTAAATATTATGTTTAAATATATAAGTGTTTATTGTTTAATAATACTAAATCTTTCAAACTTATACGATCTTAGATCATCTTATATTAATAAAAAAATAATTATATATTCTTAAACCACAACTTATTTTAAATTGATCTTTAAAGTTTTAGATATTTTAATTTTATTCTTAAACTATAAATTTTATTTTAAATTAGTATCTTAATTTTGAATTCATTTCAAATTAATTTTTAAATATTTTAATTTCATTTTTACTATGGGTACATGTTAATCGCATTTCATACTAATCAAATCGTATCGACATTCAATATTTTGTAATAATAACATACTCGACTGTCTTGCAATAAGAACATTTGATTTTTGTAATGAATTAGAGTTTAATAAAAAAAATTAACAGTGTCAATAGTCAATTGAATTTTATAATTTGAGAAGTTAAGGGACCATTTTTTATAAATTTAAATACGAGTTAAATTTTAAATGTAAAGAGTATATGTACTTGAATTATATTTTAATTTTTAGCATTTAAAAATAATAAAAAGGCTAAAATAATAGTTTATTAATATCTATGAGGATTGAAAATTTAATGGCTAAATACGTCCAAAGGCTTGCCTCAATAACGATGGTGAATTTCTTGGAAAGTGTGCCCTGTGAATGAAACACGTGAAACCAATCGGCTGAGCTGCCTGCCTTGCGGTGCCGCGCTGTTCCCCAACGCCGTCAGGGCTGTAAATTGGTTGGTGTTGCAGAATGTGATAGAAGAAGGGTGCATGAATTTACAGTTTTGATGATAATAATGATGGCAAATTGCTAATGATTATTAAATATTTTATTCCTTGAGAAAATATAATAATAAGAGTTAACTATGATTCTTATTTTAAGTTGATTCATAAACTTTAAAATAATTTAATTATATTTATAAATTATTATTCTTATTCTAAATCGGTCTCTAAACCTTTGAGCATTTTAATTTTAGTTCAAATAATCAATATATATTAACCATATCTCCTGTCGACAAAATAGTTTTTTCAAAATATATTATTATATTTTTGAAAATAATAAAATTTAGGTTAAACTATGATTGAAACTAATTATATGTTTGGATGAATTTGAGGATGAAATTAAAAGATTTAAACGTTTGAGGACAATTTAAAATGGACCATAGTTAAAATATTCAAGAGTTTAAGGACTAATTTAAAATAAGAGTCATAATTTAAGGATAAATTTGAGTTATTCAAAAATTTAAGAATTGATTTAATATAAAAGTTATAATTTGAAGATATGTGATGTAACTTTATAATAAGAGTTAATTGTATCACACATTCTCAAAGTATAACCCTCATTTTAAATCGATCCCTAAATTTTTATGTCACACCTCAATATAGGGTTAGATTTCTTTAAATTTAAAAATATGTGAAGTGATATGGAGTTTGACTGGTAAATAATGGTGTTATCATACTATTATTATATTAAACAAATTGAGGGCCATTGATTAAGAGATATATTTTTTTAGTAGTAAGGATAAGGGTATGGCAGACAAGGTTGGAATCCATTGTTATCTTTCAATTCAAGCTTTGCCCGTTTGTTCACGGAGACTTCAAACAGAAGTTGAGATCGCTTCATAGTTATTACTCTTCTCCATAGATCTCTAACCATCACATACTCAGCTCAGCTCAATATATCAATTTATCATCAGCCGAAGAATGACCGCCCTCGCAGTTCAAAAGTTCGCTCAGTGCATCACTTGCCATGCTTGGAGTCCTGATCAATCCATGGTAACATTTTGTCCAAACAATAATGAGGTTCACATTTATAAATTGGTGTAGGACAAGTGGGAGAAAGTTCACGTTCTTTAGAAGATCCGTAGAATTGAAGTTTTGCCAGAAGAAAAACAAAAATAGCGGCTTCTCCTGTCAAGTTTCTCTTCGGATTCTTTATGACTTCCATATCATTGTGGATGGTTTTCATTTTTTTATTCAAGGTTGCTGACTTGGATTCTAAGAAGGATACTTGGAGCATCTGTTGGATTCCGTGTTGGTGGATTGAAATGTTTGAAGGATGTTGTGGTGAAGTTCAATAAGGGTGCTGTTGAATCCCTATTAGTGGGTGAAATCAAACTCTGAAATTAAATGAAATTGTCATATGGGAGATGAATTTAGTTGGTGACACTGCATAGTTTTGGGGGTTTCTAGAGGGGAGGCGGTCAAATCTTAACTTTAGTCATCCAATTAAGGTAAGAATGTGATCTTATCCCCACATTTCAATATATTTATATATATATAGCTCTAGTTAGACTAATTCAATTTAGTCCAAAATTGATAAATAAAGTATTCATTCAATCCTAAGTCATTGATTTTTTTTAGCGAATAAGACCCTCATTTATTAATTAGTTCTAATAAGTTATCTTTATGGCGAGGGAAAAATTAATTGGATTCAAGTTCGATGGCGATCGGATGGGGTTTAAACAATCGAGTAATATAGCTTGAAAATGCGAGGTAATACTTTACTACCTCTTTATGCTTTATGGAACATGTTGATATCAGTAAATGCATGAATAAGATAATGTTGATCACTTTTGTGGAGTTGAATAATTTATACACTTGATATGAATGTGGTAGAAATTCTGTAACTAAATACGGATCGAATGACTAAGATAAGAGATTGATAATTGTCAGAATTAAATTACAAGTTTGTGATTGGTGATAAAGAAATTAGCTCTGGATTTGTAACTTATATTTTGTATCATCAAGGGTTAAATGTTAAAGGTACTTGGATGAAAAATTATGAGAATACTCCGATATGGTAAAATTACGAAATTACCCTTATGTTGGAAAATGATAAGAATTTTCCCTGGAAGTTGATTAGTAAATCTGAAAAGACATTGATATGATAAAACTACTTATGTGCATAAGAAATGCTAGTTTTGTATAGGAAATGCGAATAACCGGTTTTTAAAACCAAGAGGGTTTGTGTAAGATATTAGAATTATATTAAGGAATTATTTCAAGATAAGAGAATGTTCGGGAAAGCAATTGATCATAGGATCTCTAAATTATAATTATTTTCGTTAAGAGCTAATATTGAAATTATCTGGTTAAAAAATTACGAAAATGCCCTTGAGAGATAAAATAGTCTGAATTGACCCTGAATGAGAAAGTACTTTGAGGATTTATACTTAACTCGATTAAGTACGAATTTAATTGTTAAGATCCTGTCTTTGTACAGAAAAATTTATAATATTCCGTTTGTAAAATCTGAGAAGACACTTGACCCGAAAATATTCGAATAAGGAGTAAATACTTGAAGAGTAATTTATCGGAGGTATTCTGCTGACAGAATTGTTCGAAAAGACTGAAGTAAATGATAAGATTGAATTAAATAATAAGACCGGATGGAAGGAAATGATTGAAATATTCTAGAATTATAAAATGACCAAATTACCCCTGTAATGGAAATGATTCAAGAATGTCACCAAGCTCAGGAATGAATGGATATACTCAAGCTTTGAAATGAATAGAAAAATGTTGAGCACCAAAATGACCTAGAATAAGTAAATGTCTTGGATTAATTAAGAAATCCAAATAAACATGGATGTTGTGCTACCAGTAAAAGTTGTGGAACGCAACTTAAGTGATCAACCAACGTTAGTACTATATCATTACCTGAATGATATAAGTATCACTTGAATGTTTGTTCATCTTCTCAATTTTGGATCGTTGATAATTCTGGAAGTACTTGGCTCATCTCAACTCTAGAGCGCATATAATACTATTAAGTGGGTATTCGTTAGTCAAATCAACCACGAATACCAGAATGACTTTATTATATGAATAAATTGAAATGAAATGAAGTACAACGTGTATTTGAAATTCAGAAACGTCTGAATTATTCTGGAAAACTTTAAAGTAATCGAGATAGACTTGCTTCCCAAACGAACTAAGTAACATCAATGACTAAGGATTAAATAGGTGATTTGATGAGTTTGGAAACACTGTTGAACTTACATGATGAATTGTCATTATGGGTTATGAGCCGTGGATCAAGAACGTCAGTATTTCCTGATATTGTTGAAACATGGAAATGAAATAAAGACCGTTGGAAGATTTAGTCAGTGATGATTATGGGGATGATCTATGGATCTGCATTATGGTATTAAAGAGTGAATACACTGGAAGGATAATGAATTGACTTGTTGACATGCATCAATTTGAGAGTTGTGTAACTCGAGTTGTTTGATAATATGATCGATAGTCGTAATGACTTGAATCTTCGATTCTATATTTCATCTAAAATCACTTGGGTCATGTTTGAAAAAAAAACAAGTAACGCAGAAGGAAAAGATTCTGAATATCTCATTTGGTTCAATTGGACTGAAATCCTATGAATTCAAAGCATATTCCTGAATACCCCTGATTGTTTGGGTAATGGAATCACTCGCAGTAAATCTGAATTTAGAATTATTATGTATAAAGGTTCCTGAACGTTTTCCTAATGCACACGAAAATATAGTGGGATTCTAATGTATCAACCTTAAATGTCTAGCTAGATCGGTTAGTAATCGATTCTCTTCAATAGGACCTTATTCCTGGAATTCGATCAAATTTCATAAGTTTCATGTTATCCAAAATGATAACTACAATGGCCTCTGAAAATACTTGGATTCTCTAGTGTGTTCCCTAATTATTACTGAACTGTTTTATTGGTTTTAATATGAGGTACACTGAGTTCTTTGGTTACTGTTTTATTGATGAACCAATTTAATGTGATGATTTATGGAATTTGTGTCACGGTGCAATTGAACTTTTTGATTGAATTACAATAGTATAGCTCTGATCAAGCTAATAAATAGAATGGGCCTAATGTGACTCTTGGGGCCCCAAGATACATTAGGTTGGCTTCCCTTGCTGTGTGCTTAGGGTAAGCTATATGGACTTGGACTTACGGGCTTAAGGATACAAGCTATAAAGCTTATCCTTAGGTTTGTTTTCTTTTTGATGTGTGCTTAGAGTAAGCTATAGATTTAATTTTAATTCGATTAATGATTATGTGAATTTAAATATGTGAATATTTTTAATTTTTTGTAGTCCATAAAAGTTAATGATTTTCTTTTTTATACAACTCATTTTGTAAGTTTAGTCAGATTTAAGAGAGGGTTAAAAAATGCATTGGAATCATGTTTATAGTTAATTTTTTTGTAAAATTATTTTATGATTTTTCTCAATTATTATTAGTTTATATGCTATTTATGACCTGAAAAGATTGTGTGTCAATTAAATAATAATTGGGATAAACCGGACCAAATTGAAATCTCGAAGGCTAAGATTAATAGCAAACAAATTGGCCCATCATTTCAAAGCCTACAAAAATGAAAAACAATGAAAATTAAAAAACACCCATCGTGGGACTCGAACCCACGACCACGAGATCAAGAGCCTTACGTTCTACCAACTGAGCTAAACGAGCTTTGTTGATAACAGATCCAAATACCACTTGAAGTCACTAGTCGATGGGAGTTTATACTTGATATTAACTAATGGAGCTTTTACTTCACGATGCAGATTTGGTCCAGAAGTGATACTTTTCTTTTCTTTCTTCCATCTATAGCATGATTGAAGTTTATCTAGCAATTTTGAGGATTGAAAATGTTTTTTCCTTAGACATGTTTCGCTGAAATGATTTAAAACTATTGTCCATGGTTGATGCTGAAAATGGTATGATGCTAATTAGTAATGATGTTATGCTGTTGCATCGTCTGTGGTACATGTTATCTGATGTTATCCACTTCAGATCCATCCAGTTACTGGAAAAGATTATGGATATTCAGGTGCTCGTGATACAGCCTTCCATATATCTAATACCCGAGCCATTGCATTCGCCTCTCGTGCTCATCTTAAGGAGAAAGCTCATGACAGGTCGGCTCTCGTCCTCATCTTGAGGAAAAAAATATATGCTACATTTTTAGATTAGTGCAATGCTGTCATACACGGACTGTTTTCAAAATGCATATTTTATGGCACTTTCTTGTTTTCGATGTTGAACTAGTTTTCCTCTGCAAATGGTTCCGTATTCCGGTGCTGTATCTGTAAACTGGTTAGAAGTTCCCGAATCCAAGGTAAACCTATTGAGCATACCCAACATGCTTTGGGAACTCGCCCTCATTTTCGTAGGATACAAAACTCGGATGTTGATAATTACCTCCTGATGCTGCGGTTTTTCCGGATGAATTGCTTAGCAAAAACTTAATTGCAATGATTCCCAAAAAAAAAATCTAATTATATTCTTTATATAAATGACATATAATAATAAGCACTGTCAACTCCAAGATTTCTCTCTGTAAGACAGCAAAATGTTTCAAGGTAAGACTGGCAGATCGACCTTAGCAAAGGAGAAGAAGCTGACACACCCGTTTTCTACGTGAAAGAACTTCAAAGGGATGGCACCATGCTTTCTCTCGACAGCCTCGATTTTGACTCTGGATGGTGGATTGCTCCTGTATGAGAAGACAAGTCGAGCAGAAAGTGATATTTCTATATAAACGGATAGTGAATCTTGTGCACGAGTATATATATGCTTCTAAACAGAATACATGTTCATTTCAAGAATGCAAGAAAGTCCCAAGTCCACAAATCAATCAATGCAATACATAATGTAACCATACCCTATCCAACACTCACCTGAGTCCAAGTAACTTAGCATAACAGTGCATTTATGCGTCGAACAGAAACTGTGTTCAATAATGAAGGACTATAGAATAGGCGTCATAGAACCAGAAAAGCTAGCATATGATAACAGTTGAAGAAAAGTTCTACATGAGCTGATTGCTCGCCTTTACCACGACAATTATGCAGTAAAGCCATTCAATAATTCTCGTACACTTGCACCATTAGCCATTCAAGATCAAGGAAAAACTATCTTCCATCAGAAAAATCCAACACAGAGACAGATATTTAATAGTATGAACGAAATAAATGCAGTGAATCACCATATACATGACATACAAGAGTTCCCAAACTCTTGTGATAAGCAATATAATCTTACCTACTCATGCATAGAATAAAATTCGGATCACCCGGAGAAGACTTTCTAAACTTGCTGTTCGGAAGATAAACATGAAAAGCCGGAGTCACTTCTGTAATCCGCATATTATTGAACAACTCAATGATGGAATTCTTGTTTTCTTGCTCCATTTCTAGCAGCTCATTACTCTCTTGACTGCTCTCGAGTGAACAGGTTCCAGACTTGATCTTTTGACCCTTCACAGACCAAGGGATACCATGGCGCCCAACTACATAACCAAGAGATTTCAGGTTCCTATACACCTCAAAAACCTCCCAATTGCATCCACTCTTTCCATCCGAAAGCTTCTCGTATAGTTCTTTTAGAGAAAGATACATACCATTTCGATCTAAAACATGCAAGGCCCCTATTTCAACCAAAAACCTAGAAAATTATTTCTTAAAAATTAAAATAAAGAACATGAACATTCAATAACCAAAATTCTAAGTCAGGTTGGGTTTCACATACACAGTTTCTTCGATGGAGCAATATGTGTTAACATTGCGAATAGTTCCCGTAGTCACCCACATCTTACCCTTCTTTTCAACAACCTCGGCCATAGCCAAATCATCAATCCATCGAGCATTTGAGATATCTTTTCCGAAAACAGATACTAACTTTTACTTTCCTAAAGATGTTAGCTATAAAACAAAAGCAAAATAACATGGTTTCATGCAAGGTAATGAAAACATATCTAACAAAACAAAGAGTACCTAAATTGTAATCTGGATACAAACCCGGATAAGTAGCAATCCTCTTCATCATTGTCTTCGTTTCTGTCTTTAAGATAGACCTCATTGTCTGAACAACTTTCCCAATCATCACTGTCCATTGTAATTACAACAGTTGGTGCAGAAGATTAAAAAAACAGAGATGATTCCTTTTATGAATTATCACCTGCAATGTAGGGAAAGAAGATGAAAACCTATAAATGAGAGATTAAACCGCTATCAAAGCCTTTAGCGGCGGCAGACAATGCCACTGCTGCTAATCCAAACAATTAGGGGTGAACAATCAGTCGATTTAGTTAAAATTTTGAAAATTTTATAAAAAAAAAAGTTTAAATTTTGAAAATTGATTTGATTGACTTCATAAATATGATAACCTAAAACCGAATCAACCTTGCTGGAAACCGAAATAGTGGCACCGGATTTAGTCGATCATTTAACCAACTAAACTGAGAACATCATGTAAGAAAGACTGAATGTTTATCAACCGGATTGCTCAAATTCACAGTAAAGTAACACTTTGTTCAAATTCCTTCTCAATCAACTAAAAATAATGACTAAAGTTCTTCCATTTTTTGATTGACTTCATAAATATGATAACCTAAAACCGAATCAACCTTGCTGGAAACCAAAATAACGGCACCGGATTTAGTCGATCAGTTAGCCGACTTAACCAAGAACATCATGTAAGAAAGACTGAATGTTCATCAACCGGATTGCTCAGATTCACAGTAAAGTAACAGTGTGTTCAAATTCCTTCTTAATCAATTAAAAATAATGATTAAAGTTCTTCCCTTCCCCCCCTAATCTGTTGCTTTTAGTATACAACTCCACAAAAACCAAATTATAAAGGAAAACAAAATTGATATCTGCCAAGTGTTTCAAATGAGAACCATTTAATGTCAAAAGAATAACATGTGTTTCAAAGAAAGGTTGAGCTTGAATTTTAAAAAGGAACTTACAGCGGCAGGGGAAGCAGCCGAGACTCGAACCGGGAAGGCCCGACCGGCGATGAGCTGTTGTCGGCCGACGTTTGGTTTAGTACTTTAAAATCAATGCTGTTTAGGTTTAAGCCTATAGATTATCAAAAAAAAAAAACTGTGGGTGAGAGAGGCACGGAGTAAACAATAATTTTAGGGTTTTACTTTGATAATTTTGGCATAATAAGACATTTAGTCTTCAAATTTTACACTTTGACCTTTAGCTTTTTTATTATAAAAAACCAATTTATTATATTTTAAATAGACAAATTTTTACGATAATGATCCAGGAAAATATTGCATGAATAATGGTGAATTAGAATTATTTACTCGAATAATGCATTTGCTATAGCGACTCGGTGTGACGTAAAAATTTCAGGGGGTGTTTGGTTCAAGGATTGTGGGATTCTCATGGGATGGGAATCCCACATTCCCATGTTTGGTTGGCCGGGAATCTCATTCCCGATAATGTTTTATTACCAATAGTAGATTTTTTGGGGTATATTACCGGGAATGTCATTACCTCCCTTCCCTTAGGTATTGTAACATTACCAGCGTTTTGGACTAAAATGTCCTTAAATTTTTATTTTTTTTTCAAAAATATCATTCTTCTATCATTGAATAATAAAAATTCTACGAAGGTTAAATTAAAAATTTATCCTTAAATTATTTTAGATTTACAAAAAAAATTCTATAATTAAAATTTTATATGAAGTTCAGAGATTAAAAAACATTTACCCTTTCATTAAACCTTTTTTATATTTTTAATTTTGTAAAAAAATTTATATAAATATTATGAATTTAATTTTTTAAAGAAAATATATAAATATTTTACAATTTGTAATATTATACAAATATATAATAAGGACAATTTGGTCAAATATACATTCCAATAATCTTTTATTCCTTTAACCAAACACGGTAATCTTACATTCCTGCTAAACCAGCCAAACACAAAATACAACATTCCCAGTAATCCTATTCCCTGGTAATCTTTTATTCCCACTGGTAATCTTACATTCCGTGAACCAAACGCACCCTCAGTGTGTCTTCGAGTATAATATGGGGAGACGCCATGATTGCAATGCGACTCCCCATTTTATATTTGTTTTGATCAGGTTGAGAAAAAATAAAATAAAAATAAAATGAGCCGAATGGTTTGATTCAATATCTTTGTTTTAACCCTTTTTATCTTTGTTTTAACTAATTGAAATTAAATTTGCTTATCCGAAATGATTTATATGTTTACTTATAAAAGGGGGGAGACACATTGCAAGCCTAACGTCTCCCCATATTTCGATTTACTGGGGTTCTTACGTTTCGAGATGATCATGTAATAAATGTATTATTCGAACAAATAATTTTTGGTACCATCATTCGAAACAATTTTTTCCAGACCTTTATTGTAAAATTTTTACCTATTTAAATAGAGATATGATTAAATCGATAAATCTTGTAAAATCTTGTATAGTGACTAATTTGCTCATATATGTCATTTTAGAAGATTTTATATCTGATACATTTCTAGAAAATGTGTTATATTAATTATGTTTTTTTAAAATATTTTTGATAGGATGATATATATATTTGTCTTATATAATCATGGGTTAAATTAAAATAATATGAATTTTATTTAAAAAGAAGAACTATGCATGATACATGTCCAAGACATAAACACAAATCGAGCAATGACAACAACCTGTATATGTGAACTTTGTTTTTTTTTACCATATTTATCGAGTTCGTGTATGTGAACTTTGTTTTTTTTATCATATTTACCGAGTTCTTGTAATCCTCTTTAAATACGATGTCACTTTCTTTTTTTAAACGATCAATGTGATCGAGTCACAACATTCTCCAGTTGATGAATCAAATCTAATAACTTTGACAAATTCATACTCTGCATAAAATCTCTTTAACATTAATGTCACGTGACAGCCCATGACAATTATATCAATTTGTTTCATCACAAAGACGTCCAGTCTCAATTCCGTTCCCACAGATCTTCACCGGCCGCCGCTGCCTCCTCCTCCAGTCCCAGACCGAAAGTCTTCTATTGCCTTCAAGTTTCCGACAGACTAGGAAATTAAATAAGGTAATTTTTTAAACCCTAAAGTTAAATTTAAGATTGATTTCTAATTGAGTCATGCGATTTGAGTTATCTGGTCTCTGCTATATCTGATTTTGTCTTTTCGATCGCATTGCTTGTCGTTTTGTCTCGTTCGTCCTCTCTCTGTGTGTTTACTTAGTCGAGATGATGAATTTTAATAGCTATTGGTTTATCAGGAATAGCTTTCCGTTATCGCCTCTATTGATGTGAAATTTGTTCACACTGCTATTGTTTGAATCACTATTCGTTGTGTGTGTGTTTTTTTTCTCTCTTTCTGTTCAATTGTAATTTCTGATTATTTTTCTTCAAACCCTAGGGTTTTTTGACTTGATCTCAGATGGGGAAAAATGATTTCTTAACCCCCAAAGCAATTGCGAATCGAATCAAAGCCAAAGGTCTCCAGAAGCTGCGATGGTACTGTCAAATGTGTCAAAAGCAATGCCGAGATGAAAATGGATTCAAGTGCCACTGCATGAGCGAATCTCACCAACGCCAAATGCAAATCTTTGGGCAAAATCCTGACCGGATTGTATCCGGGTATTCAGAAGAGTTCGAAAGGAACTTTCTTGACCTTATGAAAAGGAGCCATCGTTTCAGTCGCGTCGCGTCCACTGTCGTTTACAATGAGTTTATTAATGATCGACATCACGTTCATATGAACTCGACACAGTGGGCTACGTTAACAGAGTTTGTTAAGCATTTGGGAAGGACCGGGAAGTGTAAGGTTGATGAGACGCCCAAAGGTTGGTTTATTACCTATATTGATAGAGATTCAGAGACCCTTTTTAAGGAGAAAATGAAAAACAAAAGAATTAAGTTGGATATGGTAGAAGAAGAAAAGCACGAGAGGGAAATTCAGAAGCAAATTGAGAAAGCTGAGCAGTTAAAAAACCCTTTGGAAGCTGAGGATAATGAAAAAAAGGCTGTAATCAAAGAGTTAAATTTAGACGGTGGAATGAAAATAGGTTTTTCTTTAGGAGGGGGAAGCGCTGCAAAAGCAGAAAAAGGTGAGAGTTCCAGTACTGCTCGGCTGGTTTTCGAAGAGGAAGAGAACGAGAAGATGAAGGCGAAGGCAAAGATTGAGAGGAAAGAAAATAATGGGAGAAAAAGTGCTCTGGAAGAATTGATAAGGGAAGAAGAGAAGAAAAAAGAGAGGAGTAATAGGAAAGACTATTGGCTCTGTGAGGGCATCATCGTGAAGGTGATGAGTAACGCATTGGCTCAGAAAGGGTACTATAAGCAGAAAGGAGTTGTGAGGAAAGTTATTGATAGGTATGTAGGGGAAATCGAGATGCTTGAGAGTAAGCATGTGTTGAGAGTTGACCAGGAAGAGCTTGAAACTGTGATTCCACAAATTGGGGGTGTGGTAAAGATAGTAAATGGGGCGTATCGTGGGTCAACTGCAAGGTTGTTGGGAGTGGATGCGGAAAAGTTTTGTGCAAAGGTGCAGATTGAGAAGGGAATCTATGATGGCAGAGTGCTCAAGGCCATTGAGTATGAAGATATTTGCAAAGTTGCTCAGTGAGTTGTGCTCAGAATTCTGGCTTGTTGTAATGGAATTTGATGTTTATTCTCTTTATCAGTTGTTCAACAGAAAAGCTTTATAACTTTGCAATGCATGGTTCTTGTTTTGTAACGTATCATTCGCTTGATAAATACTGTTGGTCTATGTTAAAAACTTTCACTATCTTTAGTTACCTGGAAAACCTTCAGAATTCGACCTCTGCATTTGATTACATCTTGTGATGCTATATGGAATTGCTTTGATCCTGGAAAACCTGATTTTTATTTTTGTTTGAGATTGAAATTTAACACATTGGTTCACCTCACCTTAAGGCTGATATTAGTGAAGTGATGAGGATGCAAAAAGTTGAAGACTATCGAGTACTAGGCTATATTAGGTTATATTGATGAAAATTGGAATCTGATCTTCATTTTGTGTTAATTGTTCCTCACAGATTTCAGTACTTTGTCCAATGTATGCTGCTTCTGTTTTAAATTCATATGTTAGTTTTCTGGTTTGATAAAAAAACTCTGTTAATGAATGAAGGATAAATATGTTCAAACTAAGTGCATCTTTTTCCTTCTTTTAATGATTCCAGTAGCTTAAGCGTGCACTAGGAATTGGAAGGAGCCATTTTAGTACATCAAATTCTGTTGCTGATTGTTTGATTGTAATCATTTGGTTCTATAAGTTCTTAAGCTCTACTGTTATGATGGTTCGTGGTTGGATGGCTGTTCTGGTTCATTTTCTCTCCTTTTCCGGTTGTGGCCGGAAAATTAAGCTGTTCGTGTTTTAATTATTTTTTGTATCATATACATGTCATGTCGAATCCAGAGTTTACTTGTCTTATTCATGTGGTGAGAATGTAATGATCCATCTTTAGTGGTCCTTCCTCTATCCTTTTCAGAATTGTCTACCATCTTAACCAATCTTTGCTTGATAGCTTCTGGTTTGTGCATCATTTGAGTTGTCGCGAAATGCCTTTATGCACTGACATGTTTTCTTTGGGGTTGATTCATCTGCCCTCCTGTAGTCATTTGAGTTTTAGGTTCCGATGCTTAACACGAACTCCGGATCCGTTTGAGTTGTTTTAACTGCCTAACCTTACCTGAAATCACATTTAACTGACCGAATCAATAGTAAAATTAAAATTTATGCAAATCATTAAAATAAAAAAGTAAAGTAAAATCTGAAAGTTAAATTAAATTTTAATTATATATATAATTATTAAATTTATAATTTTTCACTGAATTAATAGTCATAAATAAAAAATAGATTGAATCAACGATCTGATTTAACATCTGTAACAAACCAAGAAAGCAAGATAAATCTGTAAAACAGGGTCACTTACTTTCTTCCATTATGTAATACAGAATTTAATGAAAACGGAAAAGATACAAGACAGATGATGTGTCAAGATCATCACCGTCGAAATGGTCCCCCTGCTTTCACTCAATCAATCACGTCAGCCATTAAAGAATCGGTGTTGGTTCATCGGCCAAGATAGTTGGCTCTCCTACCCTAACCACACGCCTTTAATATCTACACTTATAAAAATATCTTAATTCCAGCACCACCTTTGTCACTTTCTTTTTCCCAAGTTCCAATCTTTGAGATCTATGAAACTCTAAAGATCCAAACTTTTCCAAGCTCAAAGCTTCCAAGGGTTTGTTCCTTTTGCTGTAACAAAAACCGGGTTTCTTTTGTTTTGTTAAAGGATGAAGGTCAATCTAGTTTCTCGCAGTGGGAGAGAGTTCATCAAAGGTGGCCTCGAGCTTAATGACTCGGTATTCTCTCTTTGTTTCTCTTGTGAATTGTTTGTTTTTAATGGCTTGCTTCGAGAAAGAAAAATGGAAAGAAAGATTCGATTAGGAATTCATTGTGTTTCTTTTCTATTTTGTTTTGCAGGCGACGGTGGCTGATTTGCAGGAGGCAATTCACAAGAGAAGTAAGGGCTAACCTCTGAATTGGTGGAGAATAATTGCATATTTCTGGGAATTTGTAAATCTGCTTTTTTTTATTTTGTTTTGTTTTGGGTGTTTCTATTGCTTCAAATCTTTGCAGATAGAGTCAACTAGATACTCTTTTTACCCTTTTCAATGTTCGTTATGTCTTTCTATTTTTCATATTGTATTGCATGGATCATGGTTTCCTGATTGTATTGACTCTGAGTAATAAAGTAACTGAAAATATTGAATAAGGCGATGTTTCCTTCGGTCACTACATTTTCAGTTAGTGAAGCTTCTTTTCTTTTTTGTTCATATCCATAGTAGATCTTATGTTTCCAGTTAGTGAAACTTGGTATGTCGATCTTTTGACCGACCTTTATGCCTTCTATATTGTTATCTTGAGCATTTTCCCTTGATTCCTTGATGTGACCGATATCTTAGAGGTTGACATCTCCTTTAGTCGCTACATTCCCAGTTAGTGAAGCTTCTTTTCTTTTTTGTTCATATCCATAGTAGATCCTATGTTTCCAGCTAGTGAAACTCGGTATGTCGATATTTTGACCGACTTTTATGCCTTTTATGTTATTATCTTGATCATTTTCCCTTGATTGCATCGGTGCTGGCAGTTTCATTGGTCATTAGATTCTTTTTAAATGAGTTCTTGTGTGTTGTACTGTCAGCTAAAAAGTTCTATCCTTCGAGACAAAGACTAACTCTTCCCGTGCCATCGGGATCAAGGGAGCGGCCTGTTGTCCTTAACTACAAGAAGAGTCTCAAAGACTACTGCGAAGGGAATGAGAATAGCTTAACCGTAGTGTTCAAGGACTTGGGTCCACAAGTGTCTTACCGAACACTTTTCTTCTTCGAGTACTTGGGTCCATTGATCCTCTATCCTGTCTTCTACTACTTCCCAGTGTACAAGTTCTTTGGATACGAAGGTTTTACCCACCCCGTTCACCACCCTGTTCAAACATATGCTTTATATTACTGGTGTTTCCACTACTTCAAACGGATTTTGGAAACATTCTTCGTCCACCGCTTCAGCCATGCGACATCTCCTCTATCGAACGTCTTCAGAAATTGTGCTTATTACTGGACCTTTGGTTTGTACATTGCTTACTATGTCAACCACCCACTTTACACACCTGTTGGTGACCTTCAGATGAAGATTGGCTTTGGGTTTGGGTTGGTTTGTCAACTTGCAAACTTCTATTGTCATATCATACTGAAGAATCTACGTGGTCCTGATGGCAGTGGAGGATATCAAATTCCTCGTGGCTTTCTGTTCAATATCGTGACATGTGCGAATTACACAACAGAGATTTACCAATGGTTGGGTTTCAATATTGCTACTCAGACAGTTGCAGGCTATGTGTTTCTTGTGGTTGCTACTTCTATCATGACGAATTGGGCCCTCACGAAGCACCGACGATTGAAGAAGGTATTTCCTTTTACCACTTGAACTGCTAAATCAGATATTTCTTTGAGTAACATGCTAATCAAACGCATAGGCAAAGCTCTCTGCATATAAATTCCTATAAGTTCATGTGTGGTAGCATATTAACTGTATCGTTTAATTTCTGTTGCGGTCATCATTCCGGCGTCTATTAAAGTTTACGCTTGCCTTTTACTTCTTGTCACTTGCAGCTATTTGACGGTAAGGATGGAAGGCCGAAGTACCCTCGACGATGGGTCATTCTTCCCCCATTCCTGTAGAATGGACCAATGAACGTGCTACTTATTAAGTCTTTTCGATGTTAAATTTACGAAGCTGAAGCATGGTTTCCGAGTTTATTGAAAGATCAATTCTTGCTAGGTTTTGAATTTCAGTTTAGTGCTGAATCAATGTAATGCATTTGGATTTTTTTGTTTTTGTTTCTCCTAATTATTGAAAATCATTGCTGATTTACACTGTTAGTGTTGGCGGTTACTTCAATTGATGAATTTTGTTCTATTAATGCTTCAATTTCACAAAGCCGATGCCATTATCTTAGCTTCAATTTTTCTTAATGTTTCCCAGTCCGAATCCGAGTTTCAATAACACCCGATTATAGAAGGTCGGATCAAAACTTGTTAGATTCGAGTAAAATGACCCTCCTTTAGGCACAAGACGATCAAAACACATTAAAACTTTTCTTTTCTCAGAGCAGAATGTATACAAAAGAGATCAGTAAACACTTCTCTAGACCCAAGCCTCTCAATTTCATCCACACAACACCTTATGGTTGTCCCTTGTTCCCATATGTAATGGGGTAAGGGGAGGTAAGATAGTAGGCTGCCCCAACACCAGGTTGAGAGCAGCTTCTGTAGAAGATCTCCGAATTATGAAATGCCCTCCGTGGGACTCGATTCCACAACCTCAAGGTTAAGAACCTTGTGCTCTACCAACAGAAACGTAATGTAATTGTGGCTTAAGTGATGAAATGATAAAGTATTTTGCAAAGATAAGAAAGCATCAACATAACCTGATGATTGAGCATATTTAAATCCCATGACGGAATCGAATTGGACAAAGAGCCTGCGGGAGAAATAAAGAAAATGATTTCTCCGAGCCTGCGGGAGCAAAGGGTACAGGATTTCTAGTCATGCCCGATAACCACTCTGGTACATCCACTATTATGCTTTCTGAGCTCTCATTTCTAATTACTTACTCAGTAATTAGCTTTTCTGGTAATAATAAGCAACAAAATAAGAGAATTTTAGTCCATCATTATTATATTTAAAGAAATTATACAGTATACATGCACCAGTTTGAACAATGTTTCTGAGCTGGTTATGATCCTAAGACAAAAAATATATATTAATACAAACTACACTGACAAATTATTGGTGGAAAACTGGAACGAAAGAGAACAACAAGCACTCCTCCAGACCCAAGCCTCTCAAGTTCATCCATACCACACCTTAGATACCTGCAATTTATGATCGAGTATTTTGCTAAGATATGAAAGCATAATTATCAGATAATTGAGCAGCGTGTGACGTTTAAATCCCATGATGGAATCGAGTTGGACGAAAAAGCTTGTCCCACGCAGAACAATTCATCCCCATCCGCTCACTCGGTGATTCAACAGAATAAGAGAGACCTAATATCAAATTCAAGCATTGAAGATCGTCATTTCTCATTTTGTTTTCATTGCGAGTGATACCTGCAATTGTTCTTCCTCTGACACTCTCTTCTCTTGAAGAAGGATGGGTTCTATAATCTCAATCATTCGATCGGGAAAAGCTTCTCTAACAAAGTTGTGAAGATTTAAACCTTATTTGAACCTTTCATCAATTAGCCTTTTCCTGTAAGCATCTCTAGCAAGAGGATGTCATAGTCATACACATCACCTTTTGTTGACAGCTCGCTTCCCATGCCATATTCTACAATTAGTTCATCAGATATTATATATACAAATAATTGAAATGAAAATCCTCTAAATAATTGCAGAAGAAATTAACACATTTCTTACCTGGTGGAGCATAACCAATAATTCCTCTTATGTCAAGGGAGCTTGATTGATTAGTAGGATGGTTAAGCCTATCTTCATAAAGGATTTTTGCCAAGCCAAAGTAACTTATATGGCCAACCATTTAATCATCGAGTAGAATATTGGTTGGCTTGAGGTCACAATGGATGATGGATGTTTCACAACGATGATGAAGATATTCCAATGCATGAGCAACATCTATAGCCACATTAACTCTTTGGAAGAAGTTAAGGTTTTTCATCATATCATGTTCATTCATGCTAACAGATTCGAACCCGAAAGTTGTTTTGCCAAATTCGAACCCGAAAACCTCCGAATTGACTCATAAACCCGAATATGCATATGTAATTTAAGTAATTTATTTAAGAGATTAATCTAAGTGCATTTAATTTAATTTAGGGTCGAGGACTAATTTATGTTATCGTATATTTAAGTTACCCGCAATTCTCCTGATCGTTCATCTGCTCGACCCAGTTCCTCCCGATCCGCTTGACCGCTAGAGCCCGTGATTACTCGTATAGTTCTGCAGCCATGTTAAATACTCAGTTTAGTGTACTACAATAATAATTTTTGTTATGATATGACTTAGGTTCTCGTATAGCCGAAGAGTGTAGTGAAGTTGGTGCTTGATAGATCTACCAGACTGATTCTTTTTACGAGGTGTATTCATTGTGTGTTATATATAAATATTTGTTTTAAATATATGTTTGAAATATCATGTGCACATTACTGTTTTACCTGATTTGCAATATGACTAGTTGATCTAATTAATTTCGCATGATTCATCTGTTTCAAGCCTGATTTACTAAACTTTTAAGCATGATTGTTTGATTCATGTTCTCTGGTTATTGTTTTTACTGAATTAATATCTGTTTGAACTCTGATTTCTTTGCTAATGTTAGTTACTGTTCGGAAACTATTCTCTTCGGGGTACTTTGAGTCTAGTATGAAGTCTTTACAGGTTCAACTTTGATCAAACTGATAATTCCTTATACAGGTTCAGCACCGATCGAGCTGATAATTCCTTATGGACCTAAGGCGACCCTTGGTTGGGCTCCTTGGCCTAATAGGCCTAGTGTTAAGACCTTATGAACCCTAAGGTACTCCCTTAGGGTGATACCTCTGCTATGTGCATTGGGTAAGTCCTTATGGGTTTAAGGGCACACCCCTCATGTGGGCACCTATGCTTCGGTTAGGATAAGACCTTATGGACCCAAAGTGCTCCCTTAGGTTGGCACCTACACCCTTTGGGCCTAGGGTAAATCATTATGGATGTAGTTATGGGGAACTGCATATGGTGTACGGTTGGAGGGTTGTTCTGTATTTAAACTACAACTCTATTATCGTTTTCATAACTTTGATAATGAACGGATTTTGAGACTTAAATGTATGTTTTTATTTGCATTGCTGGAACACACTGAACTCCCTAGCTCACTCTCCAAACTTTTCTCTTTCAGATACTTTTTGATAGGCAATCCGGACCTGACACTTGAAGGATCGACACATTCATACAATATTGTTTTGTTGTAATATTTTTATCTTCCGAGTTGCATTTATTTTTTAAAATACTTGTTTTACGACGTATGTTGCTTTTGTTATTGATGTTAGATTTGTTTTGATACTAATTATAGGATATTTTATTTTACTCAGTCCTTACGACTTTAATTTACTGGAATTGAACTTTAATGCTATCAACTATATTTTTAAAGATGTTTATTCGTAATATGGTTTTAAATTATTAAAATAAATGTTTTGGAAAAATTTTATCGTAATCTACTAGATCTGATCGTAATGCATAGGCGGAGTCTAGGGATTACAAAGATTGTTATTAGAAAGAGAAATTCCAAGTAAATTTTGGCACTTACCTACACTTGAAGGGATTCTGCCTTGAAGACTGTTAAAATCATAAGCAAATTTGATTAACTCTCTTAAATTTCCAATGAATTGGGGAATAGTCCCGTAGGGAAAATTATCACCAGCATAAAAATACTTCAGCTGCTGAAGCCTCCCAATATCAAAAGGAATAAGACGTAATAGTAGATTCTTCCCAATATCTTGTTCTTTTCTATTACCAAGTGTAAAAGGGTGCTAGAAAAATTGCTAATGCATTCCGGAAATATCCCTCCAAATTATCATGCACTTATACTACTCTTCGTTTTCTCTAAGTTTATATGGATTATTGTTCATCTCACTCGTGGAGGTAGACAATGCCAAACCATGTTAAATATCGTCTCGTGTGCATGTTTTATTTGATGTTGATATTGCTTTAGTTAATTTTCTGCTCCCAAATTCCTAACAAAATAATTATGAACTATGAAAGTCATTAAATTATACCAATCAACACCATAACATTATACACATTTACAATGAAATTTGAAAATAAACTCGACTCGAATTTTATAAACTTAACTCGATTGAAAAAATAAATAAAATTTAAATATTAAATAAGACTCGTCAACTCGAAATATTTTGACAAGACACAACTAAATTCAATCAAATACTCACCCCTAATTGCATCACTTTCTAGCCCCTGTTATAGGGTATAGACTTTCACACCCTTTAACGGTCTCGTAACAAGACACATATATTCTAATTCCCCGTCAAGCACTCCAACCTATAACCATTTGATAATAGGTGGGGAGGTTCAACTTAAATTCACAAGAAACTCAAGAATTATAATAGATTGTGGATAATACAACTTTGACAAATATGTAGTATACAGAAGTCCAGATATCTAGAAGGACTATTAAGTAGCATCATGTAGTATCGATCTACTTTGACTATATTAGCAGCAAGGATGATAAATGAACAAACTAAGAAAATTTGAGTCTGTCTATTCAGTAGCAGTATTTAATGAAATTATGCTATAAACATGCAACCAGGTTGAACAATGTTTCTGAGTTGGATCCTCGCTTCTAAACGAAATGTTTTATTCCAATACCTCCCAGAAAGGAGTTTATGATGCTAAAAAAAGAAGAAGATAGATTAATACAAACTACACTGAACAACTCCATGTTTTTTTCTCTCAGAGCAGAATGTAAACAAAAGAGAACATCTAGCACTTCTCCAGACCCAGCCTCTCAAGTTCATCCATACGACACCTTAGATACCTGCAACTTATGAAACAAGGACTTATTTAAGTTCATCTGAAACGTAATGTAAATATGGCCTAAGTGAAGAAGAGTATTTGAGTATTTCACTAAGATAAGAAAGTATTATAACCTGCTGATTGAGGAGCGTACGGTGTTTGAATCCCACGACCGAATCGAGTTGGACGAAGAAGCTTGTCCCTAACAGAACAAAGCTTGGTAACAACATCATTCATGCCCATCCGCTCACTCGATGATTCAGCAGAACAAGTGAGACCTATTTCGAGTATCAAAATCAAGCATTGAAGACTGTTATTTCCCAGGCTGTTTTCATTGAGAGTGATGTCTGCAATTGTTCTTCCACTCATACTCTCTTGAAGAAGGATGGGATCTATAATCTCAATTATTCGATCCGGGAAAGTTTTTGAAACAAAGTTATGTAGATTTAAACCTTCTTTGAACATTTCATCAGTTGGCCTTTTCCCGGTAAATATTTCTAGTAAAAGGATGCCATAACTATACACATCACCTTTTGTTGACAGCTCGTTTCCCATGCCATATTCTACAATTAGTTCAACACAGTTTACATATACAAATAATTGTAGAGGAATATACTCAAAATAATTGCAGAAGAAATGAATAAAATGTAATTACCTGGTGGAGCATAACCAAAGGTTCCTCTTAATCCACGAGAGCTTGAATGATTAGTAGGATGGTTAAGCCTCTCTGCAGAAAGAATTTTTGCCAAGCCAAAGTCACTTATATGACCAACCATTTCTTCATCGAGTAGAATATTGCTTGGCTTTAGGTCACAATGAATGATCGGCGTTTCACAATGATGGTGTAGATATTCGAGTGCATGAGCAACATCTATGGCCACATTAACTCTTTGGAAGAAGTTCAGGTTTCTCATTGTCCCTGGTTCATTCATGGTGATAGATTGATGTAGCCAGTCCTCCAGGCTTCCATTTTGCATGAACTCATAAACCAAGGCTTTAAAATTTTTGCCTTTGTAATCAAACCCTGAAATGACTATTAATACCTTGACAAGATTCCGATGTCGAATGTTCTTCAAGGCCTCACATTCAGCTAAGAAACTCCTCGATGCTCCACGATTAAGAAGATTAAGCACCTTTACTGCAATAGTTGCACCACTCTCTTCAAGAGTTCCTTGTACACATAACCAAAATTTCCCAAACCAACCAAATTCTGTGTGGCAAATCCATCGGTAGCCCTTAGGAGACTTTGGTATGATAACTGCAAAATTGAATTTCCTCCACAAGTTGATGTTGGATTTTGCTCTTTCATCTTTCTAAACCACAAAATGAGGAGACAAGTGAACACCAAAGCCACTCCTAAAATCACAATAATAATTGCAGTTTTCCATTTAAGGGAAGTGTGTGATGATATTTTCAAGTTACATATTGATAAGTTTAACTCAGGGATGCCTCCACAAAGCTTATTGTTTCCCTCAATGAACGTAGTACTTGCATTCTTGAAAACTCCTTCACTCGGTAAAACTCCCTCAAAATCATTAAAAGAGAGGTTTAAATACTTTAATGCCCCAAGGTTCACAAGAAATTTTGGAATCTCACCTGAAAGATTATTGTTAGATACGTCCAAAACTTCAAGGCCTCTCAATGAACTCAAGGATGATGGAATGGACCCTTCAAACAAATTGCCTTCCAAGAACAGCTTCTCTAGACTTACACAACTACCAAGGTTGTTTGGAAGCAAACCAGATAACTTGTTTTGAGAAACGTCCAATTGACCTAAATTTCTCAGTTTTTCTACTTCAACAGGAAGCTCGCCAGTCAAATGGTTTGATGATAAGTCTAGTAAAATGGTCAAGGATGGGAGTCCAAGTACTTCACCAGGTATCGGTCCACTAAGATTGTTATGAGCAAGATCCAAAGAAAGCAACATTTGGCACTTGCCTAGACTTGAAGGAATGATGCCGCGAAGATTGTTAAAACCTAAATAAAGTTGGCTTAACATTGTTAAATTTCCAATAGAATGGGGAATAGACCCAGAGAGAGAATTAGTATGACTGTAAAAGAACTTTAGCTTTTGAAGCCTCCCAATTTCAAAAGGAATGAGTCCCGATAGTTGATTTACTGAAATGGCTAGCAGTTCCAAATTGATGAGGTTTCCAATCGCATCTGGGATTCTTCCAAATATTTTGTTCGCTTCTATATCTATTTGTAAAAGGGTTTTAGAAAAATTGTTAATGCATCCTGGAAATACCCCTCCAAAATTATTGAAGCCAATATGTAGATATTCTAGTTTGGAATTGTTGACTAAAGTGCAGAAAAAATTCAAGTCGCCTTCTCTCCCATTTCCCAAATGGTTTTCGTTTAGGGTTAACATGAATATGTTATTCATCTTTTCCAATGAAGGGACATCTCCACTCAATTTGTTATGACCAAATTGAAGTACACGCAGGTTTGAGGCATTGGATATTGAAACAGGGATTTGTCCAGAGATTTGGTTTGTCGCCATGGAAAAGAACTCAATATATGGTATAATGATTTCTAAGTCACAGTGAAGAGTAGCTTGAATCTTGTTTCCAGCAATATCAAAGACTCTAAGATTGGAGAGATTGAACATTGAGACAGGATTATTACCCGATATATCATTTTGGGCTACGGCTAAAAATGAGAGATTGGTCAGCCGTCCAAGAGCTTCAGGTATAATCCCACTTAATGAGTTATAAGTCAAACTAAGTTTCTCCATGCATGAAATGTTCCCTAACGAAGGTGGGATGCTCCCTCTCAAACTGTTGTTGGGAACGACCAAGAATTTCAGGTTTGACAACAGACCCAACGCATCGGGTATTTCTCCTGTTAGCTGGTTGCCTCTCATATGAACCCATGTAAGCTTAGAACAAGCTGATAAATTGAAAGGAATTTCACCACTGATGGAGTTATTGGCGAGGTCTAATGTTTCCAGTCTTCTTAAATGACCAATTTCTTGAGGAATCTCGTTGTAGAAGCTGTTGCCCACTAGACTCAACTCCCCGAGAAAGCTCAAGTTTCCAATGTATGGTGATAAAGATCCCGAGAGTTTGAAGAATGGCAGTTCCAACTTGGTGACTCTCTGATGCTTGCGACCGCATGTAACTCCACGCCACTGACAAAAGTGAATCGAACTATTCCATGACTCCATAATCTTGAGCTGATCGCCAGTTATCTTGGCCTTGAACTGGAGCAAAGCTTGTTGATCGGTGTCATTTCCTCTAACAGCAGGGGTTGCTGTTGCAATATTAAGACCCTGAAAGATGAAGCATGTGAGAAGAATTATAACTTCAAAACAAACAAGGAAAAAAGAGCTGGATGCTTCCATATGCTAAATAAATTTCTTAATTGATTAGATTGATTTGCAATTGAGAGTGATTTGTTAATAAACCAGAACTGAAGTTCAGTATAAGAAGCCAACTCTTCTGTTAGCTGGTTCATGTTCTCTGACTTTGAAAGTAATGCGGCTAATAATTGCAGGGAGGCCCTCTTAACTTGGTGCATATTTCAAGTGGAAGATGCAATATAAATGGTAAGAGGGAGACTTGAAGTAAACCCACTTTGTCACACTTTCTACATTTCTCCTAACACAAGTGTGGGCTGGTAAGAAGCAGGGGGTCAAACATCGGTCCTTGTTAAGAGGTCATGATTTGATTTTCGAGTTTGAACTCATATTTTATTAATTTGAAAAATTAAATATAATAATATTTTTAAGTTTTTTTAAAAAAAGTAAAAAAATTAAAATTATCAAAACGTAACATGTATTATTTAATGAAATTTTTTAACAGTAATTTACGATCTGGGTACCTAAAGTGGTAACGTTTGTAAGGCACATAGATTGATCGAAAAAAGTTTAGACACCTATTTAGAAAAACGGTATAGTTTGGACACTTATTTTTATATTAAGGCTAAAACAAATACAAAACACATGGATTCTAATCCCTCGTTAAGCATATTAGCATCATGTGGTATCGATCGACTTTGATAATAGTAGGAGCAAGGATGATAAGAGAATAAAATAAGAAAATTTTAGTCCATCTATCAAGTAGCAATATTACAAGAAATTATATAGTAGACTTGCAACCATGTCGAACAACGTTTCTGAGCTGGGTATGATGCTAAGACAAAAGAAGATAGATTGAAAAAATAATTTCAGTGACCGAAAATGCCTTATAATATACGATTTTATCCAACTTTTTTTGGATTTGCGAAAATAACCAACAAATTCACAACGCGAACTCCAATTTCGCAACACATTTTCCAAGCGAATTTTACAAATTCGCAACTCAGTTTCGGAATTCGCAACGCGATTTTCAAATTCGCAACGCTAATTACCGATATCGGTAAACAGTACTATCGCAACGCGATTTTCAAATTTGCAACGTGATTTTCAAATTCGCAACGCGAATTACCGATATAGGTAAACACTACTATCGCAACGCCTCAATTACCGATATAGGTAACCACGGTACAAAAAATCCGGTAAAAAAAATCCGAATTCAACAATTTGAAAACTGAGTTGCGAATTTGGTAAATGAATTGAACAAACACGAACGAGGGTATGTTCATGTTCGTTCGTTCGTTTAACTTTAACCAAACAAACGAACTGTCGAAATGATTTTTTCTTTAAGAGGTAAGATTTTACATTTCGTAACATGAATTTGTCAAATTCGCAACTCAGTTTTCAAATTGGTGCGAAAACGAAATTCATGTTGCGATAGTTGTGTTTACCTATATCGGTAATTAGTGTTGCGAATTTGAAAATCGCGTTACGATAGTACTGTTTACCTATATCGGTAATTAGCGTTGCGAATTTGAAAATCGCGTTGCGATAGTACTGTTTACCTATATCGGTAATTAGTGTTGCAAATTTGAAAATTGCATTGCGATTTTCGAAACTGAGTTGCGAATTTGGAAACTGTGTTGCGAAATTGGAGTTCGCGTTGCGAATTTGTTGGTTATTTTCGCAAATCCAAAAAAAGTTGGTTAAAATCGTATATTATAAGGCATTTTCGGTCACTGAAGTTATTTTCTCTTAATACAAACTACACTGTCAAATTATTGATGGAAAACCAGAACGACTCCATTTTTGTTTTCTTTTCTGAGAGCAAAAAGTCAACAAGCACTTCTCCGGACCTAAGTGTTGGGGAAATCGGGTTATTTCCCACATGAACGTAGTTTCAAAATTGACCTAAAATGTCAAGATCAAAACCACAAAAGGTTGCACAGTGGATAAACATGTCAAACTATTGAATATTGAAACACAATGGAAAAAACTGAATAAAAACAATAAATGAGATAACCAAATTTACGAGGTTCGACGAGAATATCGTCTACTCCTCGGGCACCACACCGGATGATAACTTCACTATATCGCCAATATTACAACAAATGGAATTTTTTGGAATTCCCAAAGTGGGAGAATGAAGAATACAAGAGGAATAGAGAACTTGTTTTGGGATGATTTCTAATGAAATACTTAGGCCTATTTATAATTGAGTTTTAAGGACTAAACTTATAAATAACCTAATATTTTAGGGATCAAACATGAAAAATAAGTTGGCCACCTACCAAAGAATTTTCTAATGTGTACAAGTTAGCCACCAAATATGAAATTCCCATATTCAAAGTTTGGCCACCAACCAAGATGAAATTTCCAATAAGTTGGCCACCAACCAAGATGAAATTTCTAACTTGCCAACTTAATTTTAAGCCAAAACTAACAAATCTCTACCATGGCTTGAAATTACCAAGCCTACTCAACTTCTTCAACTCCCCAAATTTGTAGTGCCTCTAATTGCGCTCACAAGCGCCACACACCCGAAGGTGTTCATACTTTCAGGATGTTAATCAAGTTCAAATAATGATTGAACTTGATTACTGTTACCACCTTGGTCATTATATTTGCAGGATTTTCTGATGTCGCAATTTTCTGAAG